TGTAAGAATAAATATTATTTTGTAATTATTTAGATCCTTATTTGACCTAAAATAAAATATTTTAATTTCTATAAAAAGGTTAATAAAACAAAACAAAATCAATTGAGATTTGATAATTTTTTTAAGTTTATGAAATAACTAAAATATATCATAATCTTTTCAAATTATCTTTATAATTGTAATCATGATAAAAAAAGTATTAAATGGTAATCATGAAAATTTAATGATAAATGATAATCATAAAAATTTATGATAAAATAAAAAATTATTAATACAACCATTTTAATAAATTAAATAATTTATAATTAATTTTATAAAGGTGAATAAGTTACAAATAATTTTATAAATGTAATAAATTAAACTATTTATAAAATTATTTATATCAATAATAGTAAATTACATATATTTTAATAATGGACACACGAATTCAACATGCTTATAAACCGGAAAAAAGTTACAATAATTTTATAAACAGGAATAAGTTAATATCATTTTATATAAATTAATGGTATAATATAATGTATTAAATATTTATATAACACTTTATTAAATAAAATTATTTCATGAAATTAATTTTATATAATATCATTAATATTTAATCATTGAAAATTCACAATAAACTGAAAAATATTTAATATTTACGATTTTTAATAAAATATTTACGATTTATTTTTTTAAAGTACGACTAATTAATATATTTTTATACAATATTAAAAACAAATATTACAATTTTTTAATCAAATATTGGAGTACCATTTAATTTGATACTTTACCAATATATCTTTTGAATGGAGACATTATTATCATTTATTTTTATTATACTTATATGGAAATTATTGGTGACATAAATATATTTAATTTTTATATATGATTTGATTCCATAAAATAAATATTTTGAATGGTCACATTAATACATTTTATTTTTATGCATGATTTGATTTCAAAAATTTATGATCAATAAATTTTGAATGGAATTATAATTTAACCAATAAAATTTTCTACAATATATTTGTGTATATTTTTTTGAAAGGTTACATTTATATTCTTGAAAAAAATAACGTAGTTTAAAGGATGTATTGTTAACTATAAATATATTGTTAATAAAATTAACAAAAAAGGTATATTATAAATATATAAAAGATAAAGTAAATAAGAACTCTAATGTTTATCTTAAATATTTAATTTATCATTCTATAAATGTAAGAATAAATATTATTTTGTAATTATTTAGATCCTTATTTGACCTAAAATAAATTATTTCAATTTCTATAAAAAGGTTAATAAAACAAAACAAAATCAATTGAGATTGATAATTTTTTTAAGGTTATTAAATAACTAAAATATATCATAATCTTTTCAAATTAACTTTATAATTGTAATCATGATAAAAAAATATTAAATGGTAATCATGAAAATTTAATGATAAATGATAATCATAAAAATTTATGATAAAATAAAAAATTATTGATACAATCATTTTAATAATGATTACAATTAAAATCAATATGGTATGGCTATATCAAAAAACGTTTCAAGCCTATCAAATGCATGCTTGAGTAGTTACTATTCATGATGCACTTCATTTTCGGTTTCCAAAGTGAAACTATAATGATTTTTTCTGACCATTGCTTTTCTTTTCAATTCAAGATTAATTGGCAGAATGGTTAGAATCTGGAAAGTTACCTTTTCTTATTTGTACTTGATTGCCCATAATTATAACATTTTTAATTAAATTTTGAAATAACACTTAACACTATTTAACGCTATTATTATTATTATTATTAATTATTATTATTAATAATTAAAATGGTTCACAAAAATAATCACTTGGTATTCTGTTGACTTCAGTATTTTACTTCAAAATCTTGGAACCGTGAATGTTGTATTAACAATTATATTTATTATCATATAACCAAAAACTTTATTCATTTTATGTCTACAATCATTTTATGTGGTTAACAAAAAAAAATTGAATGACAATTGAATCGAATTGAGATTGAGAACATGATGCAATCGAATCGAAGAAGTTTGCATGAATTTAAATGTATGCCGTATCCAGATTCATACATCACAAAACATGTTGGCAATAGGCTTATTTATGACGAACTTAATTACGATGCCGATACCGAAAAACAGAAATTCCAAAAACTTTTTCATGCGCTTACAGGTGATTTATTTTCTTTATACTATGAATTACAAAAATGATTTTTATTGTCCTTGCACTTATAATTCTTGGTTTGTATTTTATAGATGAACAACGTTTGATATTTGAGAAAATCATGGATGCTGTTAACAAACAGAGTGGAGGGGTATTTTTCTTGCATGGTTACGGAGGGACTGGTAAAACTTTCATGTGGAGAACACTATCAAGTGCACTTCGTTCTCAAAAAAAAATTGTTCTTACTGTTGCTTCAAGTGGGATAACTTCGTTATTATTGCCGGGTGGAAGAACAGCACACTCAAAGTTCAAAATACCTGTGGTAACGCTTGACAACTCAACTTGCAACATCGACAAAGACACCGAACATTCTCAATTATTTGAAGCAACAGATGTGATAATATGGGATGAGGCACCTATGTCTCACAAGAACTGCTTCGAAGCATTTGATAAAACCCTTAAAGATGTAATGAGCAAAAAGGGTGTTGAGAATACTATTTTTGGTGGAAAAGTTGTTGTATTTGGAGGAGATTTTAGACAGATTCTTCCTGTTGTTCCAAGAGCTGGGCGTTCTGATATTGTTCATGCATCAATTAGTTCATCTTATGTATGGGATTATTGCCAGGTTTTAACACTATAAAAAAATATGAGACTTCAAGAGGGAAGAGACAACACAAGTTAGCGGAATTTTCAAAATGGATTTTAAATGTGGGTGATGGTAAGATTTGTGAACCCAATGATGGTTTGGTTGATATTGAAATTCCTCAAGAGCTATTAATATCAAATTTTGATGATGCGATAAGAGCAATTGTTGAAAACACATATCCCAATTTGTTGGAAAAATATCAAGATGTTGAATTCTTACAAGGAAAGGCTATTCTTGCTTCAACCATTGAAGTTGTGGACAAAATCAATCATTATGTATTAGACTTGATACCAGGTACATGTGTTTTATATTTATTGTATTATTACATTCATAATATATATATATATATATATATATATATATATATATATATATATATATATATATATATATATATATATATATATATATATATATATATATATATATATATATATATATATATATATATATATATATATATATATATATATATATATATATATATATATATATATATATATTTAAGAACATAGTTTTACTAATTTATTTATGTTTTGCTTTTAAACTTTTTTTTAGGAGAAGAGAAAGAGTATTTGAGTTTTGATTCCATTGATAGAACAAATTCAAGTTATACTGAAGCATATGAAGTTCTAACTCCTGAATTTCTCAGTAAATTAAGAACGTCAGGGCTTCCCAATCATAGGATCAAATTGAAGGTTGGTACACCTATTATGCTAATGAGAAATTTGGACCAAGCCGATGGGTTGTGCAACGGAACAAGATTAATTGTTACAAAATTTGCAAATCATGTCATTGAGGCAAAAATCATGTCTGGAAAGAACATAGGTAACATTTTTTACATTCCACGAATGTCTATGTCACCTTCTGATTCACCTTGGCCATTCAAGTTGATTAGGAGACAATTTCCGATTATTGTCTCCTATGCAATGACAATTAATAAGTCACAAGGTCAATCTCTTGATAGTATTGGATTGTATTTGACTACTCCTGTGTTTAGTCATGGTCAATTATATGTTGCAATTTCAAGAGTTAAGAGCAAAAGTGGGCTAAAAATCCTAATTCATGACAAGGAGAATGTACCGTGTTCTACTACTACTAATGTTGTGTACAAGGAAGTCTTTCAAGCACTTTGATAGTTGGTAAACTTTATATCTTATACTTTACGATTCAAATTAAAAATCTATTTTGAATTAAAATATATAGTATGTACATTTTCCATGTATTTCAAGAAGTATATAATTTTTCCTATTTGTTCATGCAGACGTGATTTGTTGATTGGACCGACGCTTGCTACAAATATGGAGTTAAATGCCAACATGGTTTACATGAGACATATACTCAACTGAAAACATGGTAACATACTTAATAATTTAATAATCTATAAATGTAATGTGAATCCAGACGAGACCCGTGCGATAGCACGGATTTGTTACTAGTATTAATAGAAAATAACGCCTCTTTTAGTGATAGGCAATACAAAAGATAGTGCTGAAAATAACTTTTAGTGATAGACAAAATATTATAGATTATGCAGAAAATAATATGTAGTGACAGACAATAACAAAATAAATTTCTCAGAAAATAGACTTGGTGACAAACAATAGCAAAACTAATTTCAAAGAAAAAGACATTTACATGAAAAGACAAATTATAATAGTAAAACTAATCTAAAACGAAATTAATATACTAATTATACAAAAATAATTTACATGTGCATATATCATCATAAAAATCACATCTAATTTAAAAAATAATAATTACTATACATTATAAATGTTATCTCGTTAATCAAGGGAACTAAGACACTATTCTATTTCATAAATTACAACCAACCATGATCGTCAAATAAAAAAAAAACCACATTTATATAAATATTTACACAATTAATTCATAGCACCATATTTGTGAATCAAACTTCTTATATCACATATATACATTTCTTTTTCATGTTTACTCGTACCTAGACGGAAAAAAAATCTATTATGCTTTTATTTTATCACTAATATTTTTCTTTTACATTTACGAAAGAAAAAAATATATAATCCATTTATTTTAAGTATAAATCCGTAACTACAAAAATGAAGAAAAAAATTAGAAATATGTATATTTTCTGGTTTATTACAAAAATGAGTAACATATATATTCTATGTTTCAGTTTATCTCTATTAAAAACAATAACTGAGCTCTACATTTTTATAGAAAAATACACAATTCCTTATATCTAATAATAATAATAGCAAAACTAAAAAAAATAACAACAACGGTAATAATAACAACATTTCTTAAAGTTGAAGATGTTGCAACCCTCTCGGCTCGTTCGTCGAAAATAACAATGGGACTTCTAACATTGAAATATCCATCATCCCAAGTCAGAGAAGCTGATACCATTGATTTCTTCAAAACTCCATCAACAATGACAACATATGTATGGTTTTCTCCTAGTGAAGTGAATGACAAAACACTAGGTATCACATAAATATGTAATCCTCTTGGAGCTGTCACAATTGCTCTATATGTAGAGAATGGTGTTCCAACGTTGGTGACAATTCTATGAAATCTTCCACTGACATGTTGTTTAGGATGTGCAGCTTTTAAAACAAAGGATGGATAGTTCAAGTCTCTTGCTGATCCTGGTGTTATTTCCGAGCAACTGCTATTATCTCCCGTGATTAATTGTAGAGCAGCGGTTGTATTGAAGCCATGGCCACATAAAAGTTTAATATAATCCTCTTCATCAGCATCATATACTAAACCAGGATGTAATGCTTTAACTGGATCAACTTCCCCCGCTCCATAACCAAATTCCGCATCTCTATTATTAACAGGACTCATCTTTTTAGCTGCAACCCAAAAAAGAATGCATATTGTTTATAGTAACTTAAAATACATTAAATAAATTATACTCACCTTTCAAATAATATTGACTTACACTATTCACTAATTTTATATATTTGTTATTAATTTTACCTTTACAAACTGAAGTAAATTTATATTTATTTAATAAATTTTTTGATTTTATTTCCTATTTTATAGTTAAGTGCATTGTTTCAGTAATATATATATATATATATATATATATATATATATATATATATATATATATATATATATATATATATATATATATATATATATATATATATATATATATATATATATATATATATATATATATATATATATATATATATATATATATATATATATATATATATATATATATATATATATATATATATATATATATATATATATATATATATATATATATATATATATATATATATATATATATATATATATATATATATATATATATATATATATATATATATATATATATATATATATATATATATATATATATATATATATATATATATATATATATATATATATATATATATATAATATCAAAATTAAAGAATTAAAAAAAAAGAGAAAACAAACATAAAATTATGAACGTGAATTACCTGACCTATATATTTGAGATACTATATTTTAATATAAACTCACTAGAAGTATAATCCAAGTAGGGTAATATTTATAAATGTTTATAATAAATATATAACTTTAAAATAATTTTGCTTAAATAATTAACTAAAAATAAGAATCAGTTAATTTCAGTTTTCTTTATTCAGGACTTTGTAATTCAGATGTTATATTACTCATTTCTATTACCAGTTGTCATTAAAGCCGAGCGGATAGCAGCAGGCGACCATGTAGGATGAAATGACTTGACGTACGCTGCTGCTCCAGATACATGTGGACAAGACATTGATGTTCCTGATTTAATATTAAACTCCGATTTTCTAGTCTCGCCAAGAATATCCGAGATAGAGAGATTTGAAGGCCAACTAGATAAAATATTTACGCCTGGAGCAATTAAATCGGGCTACAATATTAAACAAAGAAAAGTGAGCTACAAGTATTGTAAAGTGTATTTAATATATTCACTAATAGAAAATAAATCTTCAATATCTCAGATATAGCAGTGTTTGGACCCCTAGAGGAGAAAGAGACAACCACAGGTGCCAACGTATCGTTTAACTCATATGTCTTCAATATTGTGGCAACTGGATTCCTGAAAGATTGATTAATAAATTAAACTTTATATAAATTTGATTAACTGAATTAATGCTAATGTATAGGGAACATGGACTTGATATATACCTTGTCGAACTAATGTATTTAAATATACCGGTGACATCTTTGGTTTGAAGAAAGCATGCAGGTAAGGGATAAGACAGTGCCTTTTCTGGTAAAGTGGGACCATACATCAAGATACCAATAGCACCCACTCTGAAGGCTTCTTCAACTCCTTCCTTTCCTTCACATAAAACTATTTTACCCTTCACCAGTCTTACATCTAAGGTGTTGTTTAACTTCCAAAACCTATAAGATAAGAATAATTTTATTAAAAGATCGTTGATTTTAGGAGAATGAAATCTTTATTCTAAAATGCATATTTTGAAGAAAATGTTGCTATAACTATATGTTATTCATTTTTTGTGACCATGAAAAATCTATAATTTTAGCCTTTGAAAGAAAACAGTCATGTTCCTATATACATAGCTACAAGTACAAAATTGAAGAGTAATAATGTATAGACTCGCAACACATGTTTTTATCACATTTTATTATCATAGATACATATGCTTATTACCTGGATTTACGTCGAAACACGTCTAATATTGTGTTTGATGCATCTCCTCCGAATATTATAGGGTATAATGTTTCCTCAAGATCAAATGCATTTAGTGAGACACCCTAAACATATGAAACAATATCATGAACTTAATAATTGAATCACCTAAGATTGATTTCAACAAATTAGATTAGTGTGTGAATTTATATTCTAAGGTGATTATTCAGAAAATGAAATAAGGCATGCTATAGTGTATAAATTTACCTCATATGTTCTATTGTCTCCTAATTTGACCGCGGTGATAAATCTTCTATCTAACGTACTAGCACCAACAACAATCGTCCATGGTGACAGATTATGTAAGGATGCAGGGCGTGGACCGAAGTTTCCTCCTGCCACTACCGTAAGTACTCCTTGACGCATTGCATGGAATGCTCCAATAGAAATTACATCCTTAAAATGATTGGTGTTGTCTATTGAATCAGATCTAAGTGATACTGATAATATATCAACCCCATCAAGAACTGCTTCGTCAAATGCGGCATGAATACTTTCATCAAAGCATCCAGTAGACCAGCAAACTTTGTATACGAAAGTGCGTACAGACGGGATTGCAACTCTTGTTGTTCCTTGTGCAAGTCCTAGCATGCTTGCTATGGTAACTGGGTTCCCAGCTGCAGCAGTTGATGCTGTATGAGTTCCATGTCCCTTTGAATCTCTTGGAGATTCAAAATCTGCTTGGCTCAACGGTTCATTTGAAGTTGATAAGTAATACTTAGCTCCAATGATTTTTCTGCAAAAACATATCAATTTATATTAATATTTGTATTTCTTTGATTGTGTTTAATCTCTATATAATAAGGCATTGTATTGTACTGTCAAATATATTCAAATACCAAATTTTTGCAATAATTTTCAAAATTTTCTATATTGGTTATGGGCGAAGAACCTTTCAAGATGTTATAATAAGGCATTGTATTGCATTGTATTGTATTGTCAAGTATAAAGGAAGTTTTTTTTAACTTGCAATAACATAAGGAAGTTGATCCTCATCCAATTACCTGTTGCAAGAAAAATTAAAAGCGATGCAACTGTCGTTCCATTTGGTATGTAGCGGACCAAAACCTTTATCATCGAAACTAGAAGATTCCGGCCAAATTCCTGAATCAATAACCCCGACAACGACATCACTTTCATAATACTCTCTTTCAACATATTGTGTAAGACCAATAAAGTCCCATTACTTGGTGGTAAGGATGTTACTCTTTTGATTAAGAAAAACAGACACCACTCCTTTGAGTCCTATATTACAAATTTATAATGGTTAATAAATTTTAAAATATTTAAAAAGGTATCAACTAATGTTCTAATAGAAAGAAAAAAAAAATCACTCACCGGCCATTTTGTTGGCTTCTTCTTTCGTAAGCTTGGCTACAAAAACGCTGAAACTCTTCTTGTAGTATTGAAGTATTGTTTTTGGCAGGTGTCTGCAAAAAATTTAGACATAAAAATGGATAATGATAAGAAATTAATCATTGATTTTTTCTGTTATTAATTTTTCTTTTTCATAAACTTCATTAAATTCCAATACATCTTTTATTGACATGTTATAATAATACTCATCTTTTGTATTAAAAGATTCGATAAATAAATATAACCTTTTTGTAACTTGCTGAAGCAAACTTTTGTAGTGAAGTAATAGAGATGTTTCATTGTTTCTTGTATTGTCCGTATAGATAATATAAATCTGTATTATTGATAGAATATATTAGTGGAAAACAAAAAGATATAAGCCATATAAATTGAAAAAGAATAGGTTAAGTATATTTGCCTTATCTTCTTCGTCTGAAAAATATGAGTGATATTTCACTAAAAGTGAATTAAGACAAACAATGAGAACCAAAACACCAATATAAGACCTACCCTTCATTGTCAAACTAGAAATAACATATTAAAAAATGGTTAGTATAGAGGGATATGTTATTATTATTTGCCGCGGTAAAAACTATAGAGGATAGAATGAGAACTATAAATTCAATTATGATGTGTATATATAAGAAAGTATATTGAAATAAAGGCATCAGGAATGCCTCAATTAAAGGTTACACACCAATGCAGGTCTAACTTCCAAAACTGAAACCTAAACAAAAAAGCACGTGTGCCACTAAAACAGTGAAAAACATACAAACAACATAGATACGCTACAAAGTAGAAGATCAACCAACAGAAAACACATATAGCAATATAGTAATAATTCTAAGCTAAGTTAAGCTATTTTACAATAGCATTATAGTAATAATTCTCTGCTAAGTTAAGTTTTTACTTAGATATGTGGATCAGTGGACACTTGACTTGATTAGTGGCTCTATTTGTATTTAAAGCATGAATAATTGATACTACAAAATTCCTTTCATTTTAAAAAACAGTTTTCAATAAGACATTTCAGCAACAACCGAATGCATAAACCATGCTGTCATTTCTTTTATTAGATATATGATCATAATACTAAACCAAAATAAAAAGCTGGTAATCATTTGCTAATTTTTTTAAAAAAAATTGCTAATCAATGAAAATACTAAAATTATTTTGTACCAATAAGTTAGGTAACCATACTTTAGTCCAAATCTGTATTAACATAAAAAGTTAATACGCAGTATCATATTGTATCCATGGATAAATGACAGACAACAACCACTCACCACTAATTGATATAGAAAATGGCTTTTAGAAGTCCCAACGGCTTTCTATTTAAACCTGTAAACAACACTTAGCATCCAAATGTTAGTATTCACTTGTAAGAATGCAACACAGATTTCTTTACTAATCACACGACGGTAAAATCATCATTCAATCATGTGATAGAAAGTCATTATATGAAGTAGAACATAACAAAAAAAAAGTTCTTTTCATTGAAAACTTCAACCAAGGCACCATACCTCATATTTGATTTTCTTATCCCTGATGTAATTGCTCTTCTAGGAGAAAAGCATATCAATGGAGTATCAATTTGATTTTCTTCTCTCTTCAATTTTGGTTACAAATTTGTTATCAAATGGATCCACACGTTATGAATCAGATCTAGAATTTTTAGTGTTCATGTAAGGTTTAACGATGGATCTAGAGTAGAGAATGAAGTTGAATTGAGGTGTTAGTAGGGAGACGGAAACTGGAAAGAAGTAAAAGAGGGGTAAAGAAATGAGTCTTCGTTGCTTATTGTTAAGGAGTAGCTTGAAGCAGAGAACCGAGTGCAAGCAATTAGGAGTGGTTTCCTCGATATATATAGCCGTTTTCACTCATATACTATAAGTTGGTATTAATACTGTGTTCTCTTAAATCGACACGTATCATTATCTATCATTAGTACTTTGTTGTTCTCTTAATCTATACGTATCCCTATCGTGTACAAAACTATTACTTTATTATGCCATGCATGATTGTAATGTGTTGTCAATAAATCACTACATTAATTATGTCATGTCATGCATGATCAAAAGAACAATGTACTTGTGCTTTTACACGTATTAACTTAGTGTATGGTTTTACAACAAATAAATTTAATTGAAAAGTATATTTGACTTAGACTTATATTTAGACATGTACTAACATGGACCACCAACCGAGGAGTCACCTGAGGAGTATAAAACTAAACATGCTCGTATTTATATCTTACTGTTTATCGGACAAGTTTTGTTTCCTAACAAAAGCGGTAATACTATACACTCAAAATGGACATAATTTGTTGTGGATTTAGAAGATTGTGGAAAATTGAGTTGGGGTTTCGCCGTTTTAGCTAATCTATATAGGGAAATGTGCAAGTCTGTAGTTATAAAAGTAACAAAGATGTCAGGATGCGTTTTACTTCTTCAAGCTTGGTCTTTTACACACATGTCTATTATATCTCCGGTGGCTCCGCTTCAAGCTCTATATCCTTACGCAAGAAGGTAATATTTTAATTTAAATTTAAATTTATAATTACAATTGTTAGGATACTTTAAAATAAAGTTTAATTTTAAATTCTTTTTAGGTGGTCCATCAAGAAACTTGACTACCAAAACAACCCGCGTCACCATCTACAAGGATATCGATTCAGGATTAATCACATGCTTCAAGATCAGATTTTTTTTGTCTTCACTTTAATACTTCTTATAAATTTATGAATTTTATTTTGGTTAAAATAACCAGTTTTATCTATAACTTTTCACTTTATTTGGAGGCCGTATCTTGGATTAGCGCCCCAAAGGCACGAGGAGAGTTTGATATGGAGTTCAACTACGTATATAATATGTTTTCATATTGTAGAAATACATCAAGCAGATAGGGTCAAACTACAATTTGACAATTTACAACGGATACCTGAAGAACCTCGATGCCTGGCTGAACACCATAAGATGACAACAATAAAAGCTTGTATCGAGAATTGTTTACGTTGGATGGAGATCAATTATAAATAGAGGAAAAGTCGTCAAATGAGTACATGCAATGGTATCACTCGCTTCCACATAGATATGCATCATACGGACAATTTCTCACTGACACTCATCAAAATCAATATGCCCCTACTCAGTTAAGTGGATCTCAACAACCTCACCACTCACAACATTCTCAACCTCCTCATCCCCAATACTTCCAACAACAAACTCCTCACATTATCCTGAACAACAAACTTCTAACCCTCATTTTTTTCAACTACAAACTCCTGTCCCTTATTTTTACCAAAATCAAACCTTTAACACCCAATACCCGCAATCTCACTCCCAACCAAATTACATTTATGAATCCCAACAACCACAAATATATCATAGGTCAACTACACAATTCACACCAATCATGCGACCAAACTTCGATTCCTCCTCCCAACATAATCCTACAACGCCTTATTTTTCAACCATGTGTCCGCCACAACAACCGCAATAGAATTTTGGCGAGTATCTTAACGTCAGTGATTATAATTTATTGAAAAACATTTGGTCTCCTCCGCAAGCTACAGCTCCTAGTCAAGAAAATCCTACAACATCAGATGCAACACAACAAAATCCTCCAACATCAGATGCAACACAATAAAATCCTCCAACAACAGAGACCGAACAACAATATGGTTTTGGTCATCGTGCTCCGCGACCGTATATTGTTTTACCGGTACTCGTTTCGGACCGGGTCATCAGCATTAAATAGTATAATTGTGAAATTTTAACTGTATTTTTTTATTTAGTATTTTGATTGTAATTGTGAAATTTTATTATTTAATAAAAAAAATTATTATTTAATTATAATGGTTAAATAATAATTTTAAGTTTATAATTATTTAAGTTTTTAAATTAATATTTTATTAATTAATTTTATAATTAAATAGTTTATTAAATTATTTATAATTAATAATAAAATTAAATAATTAATATTATTAATATAAATAAAGTAAAAAGAAGAAAATAATAAAAAAAAATAATTAATAGTATAATATGTAGTGACAAACAATAGCAAAATAAATTTCAACAGAAAATAGACTTGGTGACAAACAATAGCAAAACTAATTTCATAGAAAAAGACATTTACTTACAGACAATGGAAAGACAAATTATAATAGTAAAACTTAACTAAAACGAAATTGATATGCTAATTATACAAAAATAATTTACATGTGCATATATCATCATAGAAATCATATCTAATTTAAAAAATAATAGTCACCATACATTATAAATGTTATCTCGTTAATCAAGGGAAATCAAACACTATTCTATTTTATAAAAGGGTTTGTTTGTGACATCGAATTGATTTCTTTCTAGATGAAAATTCTCATTAACTTACATAAATTACAACCAACCATGATGGTCAAATAAAAAAAGACAACATTTATATAAATATTTACACAATTAATTCATAGCAACATATTTGTGAATCAAACATCTTATATCACATATATACATTTCTTTTTGCACTATTTCAAAATTGACTTTAGACAGCGCCACATAGACAGCGCTTATGCCCTAAGTGCTGCTATAGGTTTTCAGTAAATAAAAAATAAAAAAATTAGAATAAGCGCTATTAAAGGTATACTATAGACATCGCTTATTATAAGCGCTGCTATAGGCCTTACCATAGACAACGCTTCCTCTCCCTAAGCGCTGCTATAGGTTTTCAGTAAAAAATAAAATAAAAAAATTAGAATAAGCGCTGCTAAAGGTTATACTTTATACAGCGCTTACTAAAAGTGCTGCTAAAGTTGTTATTCTAGGAAGCGTTGCTAAAGCCTAAAGCGCTGCTAAAGGATATACCTTAGACAGCGCTTTCCAGAAGCGCTACTAAAGGCATTACTCTAAAAGCGTTGCTAAAGGTAATACTTTTAGCAGCGCTTCTTGAAAGCGCTGTCTAAGGTAATTAAATAGTGTCTTAATCCCTAAATTGGTTATCAGATTTCCAGAAATCCCACATTTTACAAACGAAACCCCACACCCAGAAAACGCTCCTGTTCATCTTCTTCTCCAACTCGTCTCCTCCCATTCACCGTCCAAGCGTGGTTCTTCCTCCAACTCGTCTCCTCACCGTCCAACCGTGGTTCATGCCAGAAAGCTTCTGATTTGTTGTCTCGTTACAGAGAAACCTGATTCAAAAACAGTGTGAGCCTTTACCTAGAAGAAGAATTTTCGGAAAATCGGTTTCATCTAAGGTAAAATTTCTTCATCCTTTTCCGGTTTCACTATGGAAGCCTGTTAGTAATAAAATAGTAAATTGAAATGGTTTTAACTCCAAGAGTTTCGAGTGTTTGAATGGTAGGAAACTGAATAAAGATTGTGTTCATTGCTTTGATTTGGTTAATGGATATGAGAATCAAAGATTTGTTAAGTCTAAGAGTAAGAATGATTTTCTTTGATGATGTTTTGCAATTAGGAAATGATGGGATTAGAATAGGTTTTGATATTGGAATTGGTTCGG